GCCTCTCTCCACTGTGAGTTCTCATATGCTTTGTGAGGTCTGAGGACTGACTAAAGGATTTACCACACTCATTACATTCATAAGGCCTCTCTCCAATGTGAGTTCTCATATGCTTTGTGAGGTCTGAGGACTGACTAAAGGCTTTACCACAGTCATTACATTCATAAGGCCTCTCTCCACTGTGAGTTCTCATATGCTTTAAGAGGTCTGAGGACTGACTAAAGGCTTTACCACATTCATCACATTCATAAGGCCTCTCTCCACTGTGAGTTCTCATATGCTTTGTGAGGTATGAGGATAGACTAAAAGCTTTGCCACAGTCATTACATTCATAGAATTTCTTTTTGGTAGGAATTCTGACAGGAGAGTTTCTGTTGCCTTCTCCACATTCCTTACACTGGTTGGCTTTGCATCCACTATGATATCCGTTGTGATGATCTCGTGAGGAAAGATTCTGGAAGGATTTTTCACACTTATAGCCTTCAATGAGACATGTGTACATAGGTCTTTTGAACACAGAAATACTAGGAATTTGGCTGAAATTTTCTTCAAATTTATTCTCTTCATTTCTTTCAGACACAGTCTTTGCCTTATGTTTTCTGTGAAAAATAGGCAGTAAAAATAAATTCGTCACAATTTCTCCATTACCACAGAAAGAGACGTGAGATTTTTTTCCACCCCAAATGGGTTCACATATCATATTTAATTACCTGGAAGTGATGTTACAAAAATATGTGACTTATGTAAAATTGGTTATAAGTAAAACATGTTTCAAATACTAAATATATGACTCACATTTTACAAATAACTTATTTTTTTTTTAAACTTTGAAAATTTTTTTGAAAGTTCTGTTAACACACAAAATTAGATTTGGCTTTATAGCCTAAGATGCCTAAGGAACCCTGGTAGCACTGTAGGACAAGCACTTGACTCTCAACGAAAGGTTGGTAGATCAACCTACTAACTGCTCCAAGGAAGAAAGATGTGGCTTTCTGCTCCTGTAAAGATTGACACCTTTGGAAACCCTGTACACAGTGACAATGAGCCCGATTAGACCTTGCAGCAGTGGGAAAGAAGATACCTGGGTGACACAAAGTTTTGTGCTCCACTGCTAAGCTAAGACAGAACTCTGGTAGCATAGTGACTGCGAATCAGGCTGCGAACCTCAGGGTCAACAGTTTGAAACTACCAGCTGTTCCGGAGAACAAAGATGAGGCTTTCTGCTCCTGTAAAGATTTTACAGCCTCAGAAACTCTGTACAGGGTCTCTATGAGTCATAACTGACTCCACGGCACATAACAACAACAACACTAAGCTAAGGAGGCCTGGTAGGGTATGGTAGAATAGGGACTGGACAAAACGCAAAGTTGTCAGTTCAAACACAACAGAAGCTTTTTGAAAACTGTATACAAAGTCTATCATAATTCACAATCAACTTAACAGCAGGTTAACAACAGCAATAAAAACTAAGCTAAAGTTGGCTGTTCGAACAAACACACTAGTACTGCCAAGAATCAGAAAAGACTCAACACATATATAGAGAGAGTTCTGGTGTGGCACTGCAGGATAATGTGCTGGACTGCAAAGTCAGTTTGAGCCACAAGTTCAAATCCATCAGCAGCTCCTCAGAAACTAAATATAGTGCTGCTCTTAATCGGAACCAATTCAAGAGCACTTAAAAACATACACACGAACACACACACACTCATATGTTGCTGTTGACAAGTTCTGCTGAGTTGGTTCCAACTCATAGCAACCCTGGGAGGGTTTTGGAGAAGCTGCTGGTGGTTTGCAGTCTAGTGATAATAACCCACAGTGCCACACCAGAATGGCATTTTTATAAAATATATATACGTTGTTGTTAAGGACCATGGAGGCAGTTCCGACTCACAGTGACCCTACACAGGGTTTTATATATTTTTATATACATACATATATATGTTGTTGTTAAGTACTGTGGAGTCGGTTCCAACTCACAGTGACCCTGCACAGGGTTTCTGAGGCTGAAAATCTTTACGGGAGCAGAAAGCCATCTTTCTACTGCAAAACTGCTGGGAGTTTCAAACTGCTGACCTTGAGGTTAGCAGCCCGATTCATAACCACTACACTACCAGAGAAAACAACGTATCTGTTCAAGTATACACCACTTGCACACCATCTACTCACCAATAACACATCTACACACACACCCACTTCTGTTGTGTCCATGTGGATTCAGAGTGTTTCATTAATACAGAGTAAAGCTGATCCTTAGGGTTGCCAGGGCTGTATATCTTTACAGAAGCTGACTGCCTTGTGTTTTTCCTATGGAGCTGGTGAATTTGAACCACTGACCTTTCAGTTTGCAGCTCAATGCTTAACCCACTTCTCCATTAGGGATTTTATATATATGAAGGGACTTCAGACAGTTTGTGGAAAATGGAACTAAAAGATAATCAAGTTTTTCCACAAGGTTTTGAAACCGTCTTTGTGTGTGTAGGTATGTGTATACATATATGTGTGTACAGGTATGTGGATGTGCACGTATATGGATCCCTCTTATTGTAGGTTTGTGTTATGTGTAGTTAAGTGCATTGAGGGGTCCAGCTCCATAGGAAAACCACAAGGCAGACAGCTTCTGTAAAGATAGACAGCCCTGGAAACGCTAAGGATTACTTTTACTCTGTATTAATGAAACACTCTGAGTCCAAATGGACACAACAGAAGTGGAGCTGTGTGTAGATGTGTTAATGGGGATTAGATGGTTTGCAGATGGTGTTTACATGAACAGATATGTTTTTTTCAGGTGCTGTCAAGATAGTGACCACATGTGACAGACCAGAACTGTCCCAGCAGGTATTCTTGGCCGTATTACAGATACAGATCACCACGTATTTCTCTCAAACTGTCACTGGATGAATTTGAATTGACAACTGTTTGGTAATCAGTCAGGTACTGGATCATTTGTGCCAGATGACCTCCAGCACTTGAAACACTGGAATGCCCTGATACCAAATGACCTTCTTCAGACTCTCTCCAGTGAATGACACTCACCTGACAGGTGTGCTTGGGAAGTTCTTCAGAGTTTCAGAGCCATATGCATTACAGAATTTTTGTAACATGGAGGGCCAGCAGAAATTTTCCATGAATTTTACAACTGTATCTTCATCATTTAGGATTTCTGGATCAGTAACGTTTTCAGATGCTGGTCAAATAATTCAAATTCAGGTTCACAGTACAAAACAAAAAGGACAAGCGTTAGCCAGAGAGAAAAGTCATCACTGAGTACAGAAAATACTGTCACATTTAATAGCTTCAATACTTTGAAAAGGGTCAAACAGCAATTTACTCTGAAAGACTTCTGTGAATATTGGGAGTCAAAGTAGAAAATTAGGGTGTAATTTTTATTGTTGTTAACTGCACTTGAGTCCGTTCTGCCTCACATTGACCCCGTATATGGCTTCTGAGGAACAGCTGGTGAGTTTGAACCACCAAACTTGCAGTTCAAACCAATCTTGAAGTCCAATGCATTAACCAACGGTACCACACCAGGACTCCATGGTGTAATTAGATGCATAAAATAAAAATGTAGTGGATACAAGGCACTTGTAACATGAAAAGAAGTAAAGGGGGAACAATTTTCCTCCAACAACACAAGTGGTTTTTTATTAATGAATGTCAGCAATGTCAAGTATCAGTGAAGAATTTTTTCCTTAACCAAAGAGCCCTATTCTAACTCATTTATAAAAATCCCATTCTGGGAGGTGAAGCCTAATGGTGAACTAAGTAAAAATGCTGTGCAGACTTGCTCCAGTAATAACACGGAATACGTGGAAAAAAACCGGTTTGAAAGACAGTCCCAGAACTCTGAACTTCAGTGAGTGAAGTGATTGAAGGATTACCAGGAGCAAAATTTGGATCAGATGCAACAAAGGAGGTGGCTTCTGATTTGCGGTGGTCAGTGAGTCCTGGTGCAGCCATTCTGAACAAGAAAGACTGTCTGCAAAGCCAAGAGAGCAGTCCCATTGCAGGGGTCTGAAGGATCACAAAATAAAGGTGTAAGCATTTATTTTTTGTTCTTTTGTTTTCCTCTGTGGGCCCACCTCCTCTATGGGGACAATGAGGAAGTGGACACCCCCAGGGAAGGTTACTATGCATGTGCGCAAAGATCTACAGAGCAATGATCCACACAGCAAGGATCATTGGGTGCAGAATCAAAGAAGGGGGAGGAGTCAACAGGAAGAGCTTGCAAAAGGAGTGTCTTCCAAAGCGAGTCGGGACAGCCATGGGCTGGTTCTCACAAAGAGAAACACCTCAATGGACTTGAGGTGAGAAGGAAGAAAAAAGGCCAACAACAAAACCTTTATTTATATAGTAAAGCGCAAGGGGAACATCTCGAAATTTCCCAGGCACCTTTGAAGGCAAGAAGCCATAGAGGAACGCTAAAGTCTTACTCGTATTTTGCTATGCTTTTTGTTTGTTTGGAGCAATTTTGGACTTGGTGTCTAGACTGTGTTTTTGGTTTTGTTTTTTTCCAATACCTCCTCTGTTATCATGGAGAGCATTCTTTATCTTCTTGCCTTACAAACAAGAGACACCAATTGTGGTCATACAACCAAGCTATAATCATATCCTAAAACATCCCACTATCTGGGCAAGAAATAATACCACCTGCCGCACATCAGAGCACCATAAAAACCAATACCTGCTGAAAACACATTGAACTGAACAGCAAGAAAAGTGAAAAGAGAAGCCCATCTCCTGACCACATCTACCAGGAGGCAATCGGAGAGAGCTTAGAATACAACAACATACATTCATCCAATTAAAACACAATACTACAATGCCTAAAAGGGAACAGAAAATTTTTGCTCATGTGAAGATACAAGACAGAGTTGCTCAAACAAATGAGCAAGAGATAGACAAAGAATTTGCATTACAAGCAGTGCAGGCTTTGGAAATTCCCGATAAGGAATTCAGGAGAATGATACTGGGGTGCATCAAATTTTTCACAGAAAGGTTGAGGAATTTAAGTCAGACAAGCACTATAGGGACAATCAAATAAGATGGATATAGCATTAGAAACAATATAAAACCTGCACAAAGAGGTGAGATGATCAACACTAAAATATCAGAAATGGACAATACACTGAGAGGGCAAACAAGTAGAATTGAAGTGATGGAAGTCAGAAACAATGAGCATAATGACAAATCTCTTAATACAGATAACTAAGAAGAGAAAGGAGAAAAAATGAAAAAAATCTGAAGGAACCTTAAGATTTGTGTGTAACAACATGAAGAGAAACAACTTATGGGTGTTTGGAATGCCAGAACAGGAAGAATCAAAGTAAACCAAAGAAGAGATAGTCATAGAGCTGCTGTAAGAAAATTTTCCTAACATCAAGAAGGACGAGAAGATAAGCATTCAAGAAGCTCAATGAACCTCAGGGGGGACAGACCCCAAAATAAAATCACTAAGACATATCAGAAACAAAATCTCCAAAATCAAACACAAGGAAAAAG